TAACTTCATATTAACTATTTTTATATAGAGGTAATTCTATATATCACCTAATATTAAGAGGAAGATTTTAATAATCACATTACTAAATTTTTGATCCCTTAAATCTTTGGTAACACCAATGTTCACTTTGTCTGGCATGCCCCATATCATCATTTTTATATCATCACTTATACAATTGATTATCAGTGTGAAGGAATACATTTGTATTCCCATTAAATTTATTATGTTCAGAAATATGTATAAAAGATTGATTTTGCAACCTTCTAATATTTGAGATAAAAGATAAATAAATAAACATTTTAAAAATTTTAATCATGTGAAATTCAATAAGTCGGTCACCCCAACATGACCAACTTACATATGTATTAATAAATTCTTGTTTCGAATGATGAATAAAAAAAGGGATAGAGGAAAGCTCTTACTGGATACACTCCAAACAAAGATGCCTTCTCCCTTCCTCTTCTGCATCAATTGTTCTCAACTCCTAAGTTATATTAGCAAATTTTTGCATATAAAATTTATATAAATACACAATTTTATACAGAATTATCTATGCACAACTCTCAGCAATTACAATAATAATAATTACGAATTTGTAATAATTATTTACCTTGAATTTTTAGTAGGAGAAACAATCTTGCTTATTTTAAGAAAGAAAGGCACAGAATAAATTAATAATATTAATTGTTGTCAGTAATGTGGCAACTGTTCTTTCTGTTGTAATGTTAACATACAGATGTCCATCTGCATTGATAATTAGGTAGTAAATTATCTTTATTCCAATTTTCTTTTCCTTTTAAGTTCTTCATGGTTTTATGTTAATGTTCTTTTATTAGTTATGATTTTTCTCAAGTAATCCTTTCTTTCCTTATAAGTTTCAAATGTCTGAATATCACTTAATTTAAAAATGTAAGGTGCAATTTCTCATCTTGCTCCTTTTTCAAAATATTCCATAGTTCTTTGGGTTCCATGGCAGATCTGATGTAAAATTAGTTTCATATCAATTATTTTTATATAAAGTAATTCTATATATCATTTTAAGGAAAAAAAAACAAAGATAACAGATGGGAGATTATAAAATTATTATGTCACGTTAGTAGTGCAATGGTAATGTTAAACCAATTTAATCCCTGAAATCCTTGATAGTACAAAGGTTCTGCTTTGTTTGAGCATGCCCCATATATGACATTAATTAGTTTTGATTGTTGCACACCCCACCAATTTATGTATGTATTTGGATTAATTATCTTTATATGGAGGCTATTGAATTATGGAATAGAAAATTGCAAAAAAGATAAAAAACATTGTGTTTATCACTTTGTATCACGAATGCTTTTCGATTAAAAAATTGCAGAGCATCATCACAGTTGTTAAATTTTTTGCTAGTTGAATCTTTCAAGCAAACATTTAATTGGTGAATTCAAAAATCCTTGTTTTAAAAAAGCTTATCTCTAATCTACATTTGGTATTGTTAGATTTGAAATTCAAAAAAAAAAAATTTAATATAATTACTCCACAAAATTTAATTAAATCTTTGATGCATCAACATTTTATATGACCATCGAAAAAATTTTCATATGCACGGACAGAAAAATCTAACCTCTTATTATCGTCATTCTTTTCATTGTTCCATTTATTATTGTTAAAAACAATAGACGCCAATTTTTTTTGCTAGTGATAATCACAAATTAAATTATTGCAACAAAGAAAGACATCAACAAATAACTAAAAGAAAAAAACCTGTTCAAGAAAGCTTTTATATATATTAGTATTAGTATTAGAGAAAAAATTTTTTTAATATTATTACAAAAGAAGTCACACGATAATTCTGTTTTAGGTTTTATTTCGGGAATGGATTAATTGGAAATTGTTTAGGCATTATTATATATTATTTATTGCTATTTAAAAATGTTTTTCTGATAGACTGAAAAAAATCTTTACTCTTTTTTTCTCTATTTTAAAAAAAAAATTATTTCTTGTAAATTTTTTCATGTAAAATAATAAATAATAATTGTTATTTAATATAATTTAACATAAATAGATTAATTAGAAAAAAATTTTTTAAAGAGGCGCTGGCACCTAATGTAATATTTGTAAAAAAATAATATTAATTATAATTATCATCCATTAATTAATTAATTCTCGCTTAAAAAAATGACGACGTCTTCTGTGCAAGTTGGTAGTGTATTTTCTCTTTCTACTATTTTTGAAAACCGCAGTACTCGTCACATAATAAATAATTAAAAATTAATATTAAAAATTAGCATTAAGAATTAAACCAATAACGAATGAAGACTTGGTGAATTTGCCATCGAGATTTCAACATTCCGTTGTGACGGCTTCTTCAGAAAATCAAATAATAGTAGAATCAGAAAAAAGATTGGTATTTAATTTTGATTATGTTCTTGGTCCAGAAACAACCCAACAAGAAGTTTATGTTAATGCTGTTGAAAATTTAGTCGAGAAATTTTTAGAAGGTAAAAGAATGATAATTGATTAGGAGAGAGTGAGAAAAAGAAAGACGATGTTCGTGAAATCTAAATATTCGAAATTTTTTTTAATTTATATAATAGGTTATAACGTAACAATATTAGCGTATGGACAAACATCATCAGGAAAAACACATACAATGGGCACAGCAGACAGCCCTTTAGTGCCTGCAGAATCAAAAGGATTAATACCAAGAGCAATGTCTACTTTATTCTCATCAATTAATTCTGTCAATTACGCAAATAGAAAATACACATTGACAGTTTCTTTCATCGAGATATACAATGAAGAATTAATTGATTTGCTTGGTGAAGAAGTTGGTGAAAACAGACCTCAAGTTACCATAAGAGAGGATTCTAAAGGAAATATTTTGTGGAGTGGTTTACATGAATTTCAAGTTAACAGTGTAAATGAAATTATGTCGTAAGTTCATATTTTTTAAAACTTTATCAAATATTTTTATGTATTTGTAATTTATATTTATAATTATATTTTTTTTTTTCTTCTATAGACATTTAGCTCGAGGATCTTTAAATCGTCAAGTTGGTGCAACCGACATGAATGCAAAATCTTCTAGATCACATGCAATATTTTCTGTAACAATGACTCAACAAAAATTTATTCCAAATAACAATAACAATATGCCATTATCACCTTCTACTCCTCCTCCAGGTATTAGATCTAACACACCTTCAAAATTATTTGGTCCTCCATCAAGAGCCAATTCAAGACTTGGTGGTAAGTTTGACGATGGTGAATGGGTTACATTAACAAGTAAATTCCATTTTGTTGATTTGGCCGGTAGTGAAAGAGTAAGTTTCATCCAAAATAATAATAATAATAATAATAATAATAATAATGAATTAATTGGTATCACCTGAATAATAATGCTAATATTAATAATTATGACGGGGCTTCTTTTTTTTTTTTGAAATAACAGTTAAAAAAAACTGCTGCAAGTGGTGAAAGAGCAAAAGAAGGAATTTCTATAAATGCGGGTTTATCAGCCTTAGGGAATGTGATATCAGCACTAGGTGACCCAAATAAAGCAAAACACACAACCCACATACCATACCGCGACTCGAAACTCACCAGATTATTACAAGATTCTTTAGGCGGTAATGCACAAACTTTGATGATAGCGTGCATTTCACCCGCTGCTTTCAATCTTAACGAAACTGTCAATACCTTAAAGTATGCTAATCGTGCAAGGAACATTAAGAATCTTGCCACGGTAAATCAAGAAGAAACCGGTTGGAATGATGTATCACATTTGCAAAATTTAGTAGTTAAACTCAGAGCCGAAAATGCTTCATTGAAATCAAATTTATCAAATGTTCAACACGGTGGTTATTATTCTGGTACTAATACTCCCGGGAACGTTAGTCCTGCCCCTGCTGGTAGAATCACACCTAATGCTGCCATGTCAGGTAGAGACACTCCGAGTAGGCTCAAACAATCATCAACTGGTATACCACTACCTGGTAGAGCTACTCCTACATTAGGTACCGGCAGAGAAACACCAACAAGATTATTACAAAGACCTTCATCACCATTATCAACTTTTCATTCAAACGGTGCTGGTGCAAATACTATTAATAAACAAAAATATAACCGTACTGATAAAGAATTTGAAATTTTAGAAGAACAATTGTCACAACTTAAAAGATCTTATGCTGAATTATCACAAAAATACGCCAAGACTTCTGCAAAATTAGCAATGCATCAAGATAATAATGATGATATGGATGATGATGATATGGACGTGAATGGTTCATTGAAGACGACAACTCATAAAAAAGTTGGAAAATTCATAAAATTGACTGAAACAGAAGTCCAAGATTATGAAACATCAATTTCATCATTGGAAAGTAAATTAGCGATGACTTATGCTGCACTATCTCATTCCGAAACGTTGATCAAAGAACATGAATCAAAATTGGATGAATCTGATAAACTTAGTAAACATAACAGAAGTTTGATAGATAGTTTACAGAATTACATAAAAGATTTGGAAGGAAAACTTCAAAAACATGGTAATGACGGTGGTGGTGATTCGAAATCAGTATCAAAAGAGGAACATCCCGAGAAATTTATTAGTGAGACGGTGCGATTGCTAGAAAAAAGATTGGAAGAGAAAGAAGAAGCCTACAAGAAATTAGAAGAGAAATTCAAAAGGGTTGAAATCGATCAAGATAAAAAAGTACTTTATCAACAAATCGATGACCGTGACCGTAGAATTTCTGATCTGGATAATAGATTAAATCTACTTGTAAATCAATTAGAGAAATTAAATGATTTAAATCCTTCTTTAACCAGCAATTCCCCAACCACTTCCACCTCCATCACCACTTCCGCCACCACTTCTTCTTCAAATATTAAATCTGTTAGTTTTGCATCTTTAGATGATGGTAACGATAATGGTGATAAGAATGACGAACTTGAATCAAAACTTTTGAAATTGCAAAAATCATATGATGAAGTCTTGAGTGAATTAAATGAAACCAAAGCAAAATATCTATCTTCGCTAGATGAAATTCGAAATCTTAAAAATCAATTAACCACCATCACCACCACCACTTCTATTATTACAACAGACACTAAAAATAGTGATGATGATGAAAAAAAAACAAGAAATTTTAAAGATCTCGAATTAAACTTGACCGAATTACAAAAAAATTATGAATCGATTATAATGGAATTGGAAACAACAAAATCTAATCTTAATAAATCTCAACTTGAAAACCAAACACTTCAACGTCAATTAAATGACAACATTTCAACAGCATCTACACCATTAACCCCAATGACTCCTAGCACCCCAATGACTCCTTTAAATGATGAATCTAATTTAAAAAAAAATTCCAATATTAACGACATAAATAACAACAATCCCAATTCTATTCCTTTATCAAAAACTGTTTTCCATCGTAAAGCCAAATCTTTATCATCGGATATTAATAGAATAGATAAACAAGAACTTGAATATATGTCAATTATTGAAAAACTTCAATTTGAACTTCAATTATTCGAATCGTTCCATAAAGATAAATCACAAAGTTTGGATGCCGTTAAACGTGAATTGACAAGATTAGAGCAAAGTTATCATGAAACATTACAACTCGTCGATGAATTACGCGAAGAACTTAAAAAACGTGACGGGTTAGCCAATTTTGAACTCACAAATTCTCTTGATAAAAAAGAATTTGTTTCAACTTCAACTTCAACTTCTTCAGGTCAAATTAAAGAAGTTGAAATTACCGAAAATTTAAAGAAGGAAATTGAACAACTTTATGAAAAACAAAAGGAATTAGTTGGCAATATCTCTGAATATAAAAGTGAAAATGAAAAGAAAACTGTAGAAATTGAAAAATTAGAAAATGATCTTGTTGAATTAGGTCGTCAATTACAATTAGCTAAACAAAAAGAAGAAGATGCAGTACGAAAATCATCTTTTATTGATACAAATATCAAAGAAAAATATGAAAATCAAATTAAAGGATTACAATCTCAAATAAAGGAATTGAAAGAACAACAAAACAAAGATGCGATTATTTATCAAGAAATGTCAAAAACTCACGAAAAAAATATTCGTGATTTGACAATCCTTCAAGAAAAAATCGTTATACTTCAGGCTGATATTTCAACAAAAGATCAAACTATTGCCGATCTTTTGCTTCCAAATTCTGAACATGAAAACACAATTAAAATACTTGAAAAAAATCTTCATGAAGTTAAAGAAGCTCACCGACTTGCAATTCAAGAAAAAAATAACAGAGCAAATCGTTTAATTGAATCTAACAATAATAATGACAATAATGATGTTGCTAATAATAACAATGATGATGGTAATGGTGATGACGACGGTGAAGGAACATCTTCTGATAAGCTTGAACAAAATATTGATGAGAATGTGTCGGTTTTAGAGGATAGTGTTAGGAATCTCGAAGAAAAACTTGCTAAAGCGTACAACAATCGTAATGAGGACAATAATAATCAAAATGACACAACAATAAACAAAATTCAAATTGAAAATGAGGAAATTGACAATCTTACACAAAAAACGGTAGATAAACTTGAAGAACAATTAATAATATTGCAAAAAGAAATAACAAATTCGCCAGATACCATAGAAACTTCACATAATCAAAAAGAATTAGTAACCTTATTACTAAGTCATCTTGAGACTTTGAAATCTGATATTAAACGTAAAAACGATTTTATCAGACGATTAAAAAATGATTTTCTAGATCAAAATAAATTAAAAGAAAAATTAAGCGACAAAGAAAATCATTTAATAACATTGTCTAATCAATTGAAAGATGCCAGGCTTAAAGATTTAGATATGCAACGACGATTACAAGAACTTCAATTACAATTGGAAAATTCTGAAAGCAGTAAAATTGCATTACTTCAAACTGAATTGGAAATGATTCGAAAAGAATTTAATGATGTAAAAGGAAAAGAAGCATTTGCCCTGGAAAGATTACGTTTATTGGATGTTGAAGAATCTAAGCTTCAAAAAGATTTAGAAAATCTTCGTAACATAGAGATCAATCAACGTGAAAGAATTGTAGAATTGGAAAATCAGGTGAAAGAACAAGGTGGTCAAGTTGATGAAAATTTGAATAATCTTAGAAATGAATTGGCTAGCGTCAAGCAAACAGAAGTAACAGAAAAGAAAACGATAGCAGAACTTGAATCGAAACTTAATAAATCGGAAACAGAAGTTAACACGCTGCAATCTGAAATCGAAATACTAAAAGCTAAAGAAGATGAACAACTCAAGATGATCAAAGATCGTGAAAATATGTTAGTTGAAGTTCAATCGTCTACCAATAAAGATGAATTAGAATTGATCAAACGTCTTAATGAAGAAATCGAGCTTTTACAAGTCGAGAAATCTGAACAATCATCGAAAATTCAAACCTTTGAATCTAGATTAAAACACGTCCAAGAAGATCCAAATACTGTAAATTTAAAAAATGAACTCACCGAACTCAAATTACAAGAAAAAAAATTACAAGCAAAAGTTGCAGAGTTAGAAAATCAACTGATCTTGGTAGAAAAAAAATCGGAAAGTTTACAAGCCATGAAAGATGAATTGGTCAAATTAAAAGAATTAGAAACCGATCAAAAAACCACTATAGAACAATTAAACTTACAACTTCAAGATACCAAAGACGCAAAAGAAACTGTGATTAGAGAATGGGAATCCATGAAAGATAATTTTTGTGCACAAACAAAACTTGTTGTGAAGCTTGAAAATGGATTGAAAATTTTGATGGAAGAATTGAATCTGGTAAAAGATAATCATACAGAGACTTTAAAAGACATTGAAAGTCTTGCCGAATTTCTGAATACGACAATGGCACAACAGGGAGAGGATAAGAAAAAAATCGCAAGTTTAGAGGAAGAAATCGAAGTGATGAAGGCTGGTGGTAAAGTTGCTGATTCTAATTTTTATAATCTTCGAGAAGAATTAGCAAATACCAAACTCGTAATGGAATCACAAAATGCACTTTTGGATAAATTAGGTGATCAATTGATGAATATAGAGAAAGAAAGAAATAGATTGTTGGATAATGTCGACGAATTGAATAAAGTTATTGAAGAAAAAGTACAAAAAGAAAAAGAAGCAATTTTATCTTTTGAAACAAATGTAAAAGATTTGGAAAAAAAACTTGAAGAAGAGATAAAAAATTCCAAATCTTATCAAGAAACGGTCAAAAATTTAGAAGAAAAGCTTTCAAAGGTTCAATCACAACTTGATGAAGCAAGATTATCAGATGAAAAACGTGCGAAAACGGTCAATGAATTTAAAATAGTGCTAAAAGAAGCCAATGATGCTCTTGTCGAAAAAGAAAGATTAATAGCTAGCAAAGATTCTCTTTTGATTGAACTAGATTCCTCCATTAAAAAATTAAATTCTCGGCTTGATTTAACAACAAGTTCAGAAAGTGAGCGTGTTTCAAAACTTCAAGAACAACTTTGTGATGTCGAAGAACAATTAAAAACTACAAAGATATTTGCAAATGAGCAATTGGAGAGAGTTAAAGAGTTGGAAAAACAAATTGAAGAAATCGAAGAACAGAAATTAGAACAATTGAATAAATTAAACTCGGAATTGGAAGAAACTAAATCTATCGAGGCCTCCAAAACCATGTTAATTAATGAATTGGAAAAACAAATTGAAGAAATTGAAGAACACCAATTGGCGCAATTGAATAAATTAAATTCAGAGTTGGAAGAAACGAAATCTATCGAGGCCTCCAAAACCACGTTAATTAACGAATTGGAGAAACAAATTCGGGAAATCGAAGAACATCAATTGGCACAATTGAATAAATTAAACTCAGAATTGGAAGAAACGAAATCTATCGAGGCTTCCAAAACCGTGTTAATTAATGAATTGGAGAGTACTTTGAAAGAGAATCAAGAAAAGATAAAGATGTTGGATGATTCGTTAAGCGGTGCTAAGGCTGAACTCGAAAAAGTCAAAAAATCTGAAATTGAACAAACAGAACTAGTTCAAGCATTAGAAAAGCAACTTCAAGAAGTGGATGACAATAGGAATGAAGAATTGATAAAACTTAAAGAAGCACATATAGAACTTGAAAAAATGAAGGAAGATTGTACAAATTTGGAAAATGAAAAGGATATTGTTAATGATGAAAAAACAAAACTTACTAATGACTATAATGAAAAAATGAACAAGGTAGAAGAAGAAATCAATGGCTACCGTGAAAAAATGGAGGAATTAAACAAGCAAAACGAAAAACTTGAATTTGAAAAGAAACAAGAATTAGAGAAAAATGCTAATCTTGAAATAAAGATTGAAAATCTTCAAAATGAATTTGATAAATTGACAAAAGAATTTCTAAAAGTTTCTGTTGAATATCAAGAACTAGAAAAACTTGCACAAGAATATAAAGATCATATAACACAATTGGAAGTGTTGCTAAAGGAAGTCGAAAAAGAAAAAGAACAATTAGCCGATAATATTAGTAGTACAAATAATAATAATGATAATGACATTATTAATAAAAATGATGATACCATTTCTTCTAATATTTCCAACGACAACGAATCACCAACATATGCAAGAAAATCTGTAACAAATACAATGACTATTGAAAAATTATCTGCAGCAACTAAAGATCTACAACAAACAAATTCCAATTTGAATTCCAAAATTGTGGAAGTAGAAGATTGTGCCCTAATTCTAACTAATAAAATCAAAAATTTAGAATCGGAATTGGATGTGTTGAAATCGATAGAAGATGTTGAAACAGCTGAAAAATTAAAGGAAAAAATAAAACAACTTGAAGTTCAGAAATTAGGATTGGAAGAGGCGAATGAATCATTTATGGAGGAACAAAAGAAAGTTGATTTGAAAATTGATTCGTTGTTGGTTCAATTGAAGTCTGCAGGAAATCACGGAAGTCAAAGTGCAATTTATCTTGCTGAATTGAATGAAAAATTGTTGGTACTCGAAGATCAAATAAAAAATTTGAAACGAAGATCAATAATTAATCTTAAAGGTGAAATAAAGAGTGGCAATGATGATGATGGTAGCACACCAGAAAATTCTTTAACATGTGATCATAATAAATTGATTAATGGTCTAAATGAAAAGATATCATTGTTGGAAGAAGTTAATGGAGAAAAATCAAGCATGATAGAAACATTAAAAGATTCACTCGATGACAATCAAACGATGCTAGAAGAGGCACGAGAAAAATTAGATGAATTGCGACAAGAGAAAACAAGATTAGAGGAACGAATCACCAGTTTAGAGTCACAATTAGAACAAACGACAGAGCAATATGAAAAAGTCAAGAATTTTATTGAAGAAAAACGAAATATGGAGAGTGCTTTAGAACAAGAGAGACGATCCAAGAAAAATGTTGAAGTAGCTTTAGCCCAACTTGAGAATCAATTGGAAGAACTTCAGATCGCAAAAAGAAGTAAATTCATGTGCTTTTAATGTAATTAATTGATTATAGAATATAATTAATAATAATAAATATTTATTTATTTATTTATTTATTTATTTATTTATTTATTTATTTGTTTATTTATTTATTTATTTATTTATTTATTTATTTATTTATTTATTTATTTATTTATTATTTATTATTTATTTACATTTAATTGTTTCATTAGATATTGTCTATTATTTTTTTATTTTTATTTATTTTATTAGATTTTTGTAATAAGGAACAATTAAAATTTCGTTTATTTATTTTATTACTTTTTTAGACTTAGATTTTTTTTTGTAATTTTTAATTTTTTAATTTTTTTTTAAAGAACATCTTTCATTATTATTACTACTTAAATCAGATGTAAATATAAAATTAAAATAAATATTATATTAATAATTTTAAATCATTATTTTTATCAGGATTATCTATCTATAAATCTATTATTATTGTTGTTACTATTATGATTATTATTATTAAAAACTCTATTCACCAGAAATTTATTTACAACTATAATAAAATAAAAGTAGAATTAAAAAAGATTTAAAAAAAATTTCAAATTTATTCTACAATGTAAATAGTAATAAAGCTCGCCATACATCATCTTGTCTTAATATTGTTCTTTTTTAAGATGTTTATCATTATCGTGATGATTATAAGCAATTAATAAAGTGGATATAGTCATGGGATCAATTTCATACCCTAAACTTATCATCTCTTCATGAATAGAACAAACGTTTTTCACTCTACCCAGTAAAGCATACCCTTTCATAAGTACAGTGTATGTGACTTTATCGACTGGTAGGTTCAATTCTTTCATATGATCAAAAATCTTTTGAACATTTGAAATATAGTTTTCTACAGCAAACATATTCATTAAAGAAGTATAAGCAATATTATCGAATTCCAAAATATTTTGTTTCATCTCTTCAAATTCCTTGTACGCTTTATTAATCTCGCCGATTTCAACATATCCATTGATCAATGACGTATAAATTCTTATATCTTTTACAAACCCTGCTTCAATCATTTTCTCAACAATTTCCTGTGCCATGTTCATATTTTTTATCTTGGCATATCCATACACCAATAAATTAAAGATATATTCATTCGGATTGATATTTTGATCATTCATTATTTTCATTAGTTTTTCTGCATCAATCATATTCTCATGATACACAAAATTCTTCATTAAAATAGAACAAGTTACAACGTCCATCGCAAATCCTAATGTTTCAAGCTCTTTAAATATCTGTTCTATATTTATTTTATAATTACTATTATTCTTATTAGTGCTAGTACTAGTAGTGGAAATAGTAAAAGTAGAAAAAAAAGAAGAATTTTTTATCATAATCGAATGTTCTGAACTTTTTTTCTCTCGTATATCTCTCATAACAACAAGGTCTAGTAGTGTGTTCAAAGTACGATCAGAAGGTCTAATGGATTTTTCCAACATTCGTTGATAATAATTGATTGCCTTCTCAAAATCATTAATATTTCCTTGCTCTTTAATATGTTTCATTAATATTGTATATGTGAAAGTGTCTGGTGCTATTTTATAATTGGTCATCAGTGTGACCAAAGGTTCAACAGATGATATCCCCATTGTTTGTAGATGGCCTCTCAACAATGTATTGAAAACATTTACATTTGGGAAAATGCCTTGCCTAATCATTTCCCCAAAATATTTATACGCTTCTTTGATATTGTTTTTATTTACAAAGCCAGTAATCAAAGTATTATATGTAATTAGATTTGGTGATAGTCCATTCTCTTTTATTTGATCAAAAGTTTTTAACGCAAGGTTCATATCATCTATCCTAATAAAAGCATTAATAAGATTATTATAGGCTCTTAGAAATGTTAATTTACTAAAAATTAGCCTCTGCTTCATTTCTAATACTTGTTTGATATTGCCATCATGAAAATATGCCAACATCAAGATAAGATAAATTTCTAAATCAGGTTGTACCTCAAGCTCTATCATTTTTTTATATAATCTTTTGACGGAATGAATATCTCTCAATCTAAGATAATTCTTCATGATATTACCAAACAGTTGAACATTTGGTTTTACCTTTATTCTGACCATTGTTTCTAAATAAAGTTCTACACCTTTGAAATCGTTTTTTTCCAACAGCCCATGAATTATTATGTTGAAAGTGATTATATCAGGTTCAATTTGTTGTGTTAACATTTTTTCTAAAATTACATAAATTTCTTGAAAATTATTATTTTTTACATTTGCCAATATTAACATATTGAAAGATATTAAATTTGGTAGAATAGAATTACACTTCATCTCATCGATTAACTCATTTATACGTTGCAAATTACCTATATATGCATAAATAGTTAACATTACATTATATGTATTAACTTTTAATAAAATATGTTTGTCATTACGTAACTTGTTAAAGATATTTTCGGCCTTGATATTTTCTTTCCAATGTCCATACAACAATATGATTGTTTCGTAGGTACGTCTGTTCAATCTCAAATTTCTTGAATTTATATCTTCAAGAAACCTATCCAACCAATACAAAACAAAAATCCTTGAATCAGATTTTCTTAAACTTTTTATCAATCTCAATCGATCCCTCAAAGTCAATGTACGAATTGCGTGTAATTCGGATATTTTCTTATATGTGAACCAAACTCTATCATGTCGATCACATGATAAATCTTCACGAAATTCTTTGATCAATTGTATAATGTATCGTAAACAACCTTTTTTTTTCTTTTCCTCCAATCGAATTCTTGGTTTTATTACTGTTGACGTTGATGTTGACGATTTTGAATATTTACGTTTTGTTAGCCTATTACTTATTTCAAATCCCCAATTTTTTAAATTCTTGAACCACAATAATTGATCAAACTTATAAAAAACCTTTGATTGTCGTTGTTGTATTATTATTACACGTGGAAAATAAGTTGTAAACTCTTTTTGGCAATGTTTTTGTTGACTTATATTTGACATGATTTTTGGAATGACAATTTTAAATTTTAAAAAAAGGTGATTAAACATTAGACAAGAACAATTACTATATTTTATTAAAATTTAAATTTATTTTTAGATTATCAAACAAACATAAAAATTTTTTTTTCCTTATCTGTTATAAAGCAGATGATCAACTGATTTTTTTTTTTTAAAAATCAATAATTTATTTTATTTGAATCATGCCTTCTAAAGCTATAATAAAACATCAACCAAATTCTGCTATCGTAACTTATACAACTTTAACTGTTGCTGCTATTGGGTTTTTTGCATATTATTTATTTCAAAGATATCAAAATAGAACTAAAAGAAGAGACAAGTAAAAATAAATAATTCCAGGTGAAGAATCTTTGGATTATTAAGATACACAGGCACAGATAAAAATGTAAGCTCGACAAAATTACGAAAAAAGATTACCTCAAAGAAAATTATATACTAAACTTATAGTATTCATTCAATTATTTACACACACAAATATTAATCTATTTATGTTCAATCTTTTTTTTTTTTTACATTTAGAACTAAATGAATGTTTTATTCGAATTTCTTTCCATATCAGATTCACTTAAATCACATATAAATTAGATTTTTTTTTGAAAAGTTTTTTTACTTTTACTTTCTTTTTTTTTGTTAATAATAATAGCAATAAAAAAAATTTGAGTAGAAGGATTTTAATACACAAGTTTCCTTTCAATGACGTTAACTTTGATCGTTATCTTATATGTTAATTTAATTTCTATTTATGATGCCAAATTGAATTAGCAGTTCGCCATCGTCTCTATGAATATTTAATTTTTTTTTACTTCATAAATGCAATATGACTATGACGATCGTTTTCTTTTTTAAGCCATATTAATTTAAAGACGTGTTTTACAACATATAAATAAATTTTAGTAAATATTAAGATATGGAAAAACATTCAGAATAGTATATTTTAGTAGGTAGTATTAGAAAGAAAGCCAAAAAGGTCAAATTTATATAATCAAGCTTTTTGTTATTATTTTTATCTGGCTTTCGAGCTTTAGTTATTTATTTTTTAATTTGCAAAATTCAAGTTATTTATCATGTTCAAACAAAATGTTGGTTTATTAATAATATTAGTGGTTTTATTAACCATATTACAAGGTAAATCGATTATATATTTTATTATATATCATATTTTCAAAAGTATTAATGATAATTTCAAAAAAAATCAAAACACGTAGGTGCTTTTACACAAAAAATGAATTGTGATATAGAATCTCAATTTTGTTTGACGGTATCAATTCCTAATGTTTACTTTGAGTCAGGAAAAATTTATGCGTCATTTCGTATGGAAGCACCGTCAACGGTTGGGTAAGCAATATGTAACACTTAACGTATTCATGTTCACGTTCATATTCATATTCATAACAATATTATATACTTTCCATATATTAAGTAAAGTCAATAATTAATTGTTTGAATTAGTTGGATGGCATTTGGAATTGGAAAGAATATGGTTGGAAGTTATATGGTGGTAAGTTTGATTGTATCTGTGACTTTTTTAATTTAATTGCTAAATAAATTATTTCTTAAAACAAATTTGTTTACTTTTTTTTGATTAATTTATTAGATGGCATGGCCTCGTGCAAATGGCGGTGCTATAATTTCACAACGTATTGCCAAAGGACATGAAGTTCCAATTGTGACTGAGCATCAAGATGATATAACATTAGATCCATCAAGTGGTATTCAAAGTAATAAATTTGTGGTACTTTTCAAACGTCCATTATCCGTCAACGGTTCTTTAATCACCACAGACACAACCAATTATATCTGGGCCATTCATGATGCTGAACGACCTGATGAAGATCCAAACACCATGAAAATTGAAAGACATAATGCGATTGGTAAATTTGATATTACCATAGACACGCCTATTCCATATGATCCCACCACTACTGCTACAACTGATACAATAACTGAGGCCACTTCATATGATACTTTTATTTTCATTCATGGTTTAACTATGTTTGCTTCTTGGGGTTTTGTTGTTCCTGGTGGTGTTTTTATTTCTCGCTTTGCAAGAAACATTTTACCAAAACGTTGGTTTGCTCTTCATTGGAGTATTCAAACTTTTGGTGCTCTACCATTATCAATCACTGGTATAATAATGGCATATCTTGCCGGTGTAAAATTTAATATTGAAAGTAGACATCATGTAAGCTCTCTTTTGTTTTTTAAAAAAAAATTAATAAATATTATAAATATAATTAATGCATTCATTTATTTGTAGGCTATTGGTGCCATTTTAACATGTTGTTTGTTTATTCAACTTTTAATTGGAGCAATTCATCATCATTTATATAGTCCAGAACGTAAATATACTCCTTGGTGGACGAAAGTTCATTGGTAAGAATTATGTATATATATATTTGACTATTGCTACTAGACCTTCTGCATACTTGAATACAATAACGATATTTTATATGATAAAAGAATGGTCTCATTACATCTTAAAAGAAATTTATAAATTAATTATTATTAAAATCTATTTATAGGTGGTTTGGAAGATCTATTATTATTCTTGCATTTATACAAATCCCTATTGGTCTTAATATTTTTAATGTCGCTAAAGCGTACATTGTTGGCTATTACATTTATACAACGGTTATAATTGTTGCATATGTTACATTGTCGATTGTTTTCTTGAGAAAGGGAGAAAATAAAATTGGAAGTTCAACTGTCTCATACACAGAAGTCCGTCAAGATGATGCTGATTTTAAGAGTAAGTAATTTATATCTACTTTTTTTTTTAATACATGAAAATGTTAGATTAAGCTAAACGGGGCTTACTATAAATTAAATTGATTTTAAATTATTTTAAATGTTTAAATAGATAAATTTTTTAAATGAAATACAAATTTCTCTCGCATAGATTAACGAGTATCTGATGATGCTGATTTTTTCTTGTAGAACAAGGAAAAAGTATTTTTAATAATAAATAATGTGTATATTATCGTATAAATAATATTTTATTGATGATGCTTTACATATTATTATTTCAAAAACCAATAATTAATAATAATAAATTTTTTGATTTGTAATTTAAATTTAATAAAAATAATTATAATTTAGATTTTAATATTTGAATTTTTTTCTTTTTATCCTTTGCAATAATATTACTTTTCTTTGGGACTTTAATAATTAATTCGCCATTATTAAATTCGGCTTTAACATTATCAATATCAATACTATCTTTAGGAAATTTTATAGATCTAGTAAAACTTCCTTCAATACCCATCGTTTCAACAATCAATGGTTTTTCCTCATCATTATCGGATTTCTTCTTATGCTCTCCACTAATAGTAAGAATATCATCGTTCGTTATATCAATTGATAATTGATTTATTGTAATTCCTGGTAAAATTGCTCTGATAATATAATCTGTTGATGTTGTCGAAACGTTTATTGGAACAAATTTTTGATTAAAATTATCACCATTGATAAACCAAGGTGGTAATTTTATTGGCTTGATAAAATTATATGGAAGAATTTCGAATATCTCTTCAAAAAATGGCATTTTTTTTTTCAGAACAAAGTTGTGAGAAACATCAATTAATTTCTAGAATTTTCTTTGCAAAGTTTAAATAAAAAAACTCACATGATGATAATAATGGCGCCAAGAAAATCCAATATCTGCAATATGAAAAAATGTTAAAAGAATTATAAATATTAAAAAAGTCCCACTTGTACAAATAAATACGATGACTACTACTTCTATTTGAGAGTAGATTCTTGTATCAATTCGAAGCTGCACGTGATTCCGCTCGAAACTGAATTTCTAAAATCCTGTTTACGTGACGATTAGCGTCACCAGCTAACATCGATCACTTTATTAATCAACATTTTACCATGAAGATATCAAGCCTCAAAGTTGCACAAGTTTACTATGCTTTAGAGTCATTATAATTGAACCCGAACCCGTATAAATTTATAATTTGCAACCGAACCCGACAAAATTTCGAATTTTTATACTAAAAAATGAAAACGATCGAAAAATTGAAAAGAATAAAAACATTGCACTCGAAAAGTCAGCAGCTGCTGAATAAAAGTTGAAGAGATGAGAGAAGGAGAATTTGAAAACGCTGGAAGAATTGGAGGAGGGGTTGATGGAAGGGAAATGGAGTAATGGGACAGAAGACGAGGCGGGAAGAACGAAGAGACGGATTGGAGGAAGAAAAGAAGAGGTTGGAGAATGAAATGAAGAAATGGGGAGAAGAAGTAAGGATGTGGGATGTCATGATTAAATGATACCTGATGAAATGTTTTTGTTGCAGGAAATTATTTTGTCATAATTAATTAAAAATAATAAATTTATATTAACCTTTGGTTTGAGAATATTATTAAACAGGAAAATATGGCTGGACACATTTATATTCAATTCAATTCATTAACACCAATAAATGGTATAGAAGACTTTGATGAATGAACCTTTCTTTGAAGTCAACACAGCTTTAATAGGACAGGTTTTTGGATTATTTTTGTAGGAAATCAATTAATTAGCTGAATAAATTCTGAACTAGAGATAAATCTGTTTTTCCTTTATTTATCTTATCAACTCATCAATCACAACAATCATGAATGTTATATTTGTAGTCCTACTCTAAGCCTAGAAACATCGTTAAATTCATCCAATTTTCCTCATCAGGCCACATGCAAACTATCATCAGGATAATGATGTGGCCACGTTCGAGGGCAGCGCATTTCAATAAATTGGCCACATGTGGTCATTTGCATTTTCAGACTCCACCATGTAACATTCATGTCAATCGTCAACACATGTTGACGGTCATCTATAAGTATCATTCTGGGAAAAATGTTTAGAGATGGTTTCTGATATGCAAAAAAGTTATTGACTAGAATTTTTTGGTTAGATTTAGGTGTATATCAGGAACTTGATCTGAGCCATTTTTATCCAAGGACATTTTTTCAGGAAAATGCTTATTTTGGCTTTTATGATGAGGGATGAGACACATAGTGCCGAATTGTTATGTGTCAAAGACACTAGCTCCGCTACCCTACTTGGTAATACTCAAAGCATTGTAATAAGTATATCTGTTTTCTGTTTTTATATTATGAAAAAGGATAAGCAAGCCTTGGTATGGTGGATATAGATATAAAAAATATATTAACAGAGTTAAGTCAGCAAACCACACATTTCTTAATGTTTTTAGTTGGATTGAATCGGTTATCAGGAATCGATAAAAATTATGCAGTTTGTTGACCTAAAATAAGCGTGATATGTTTTGGAGCTTTGGAAGCCTTTCTTTTATATGTAAATGGCTAAATTATATCTGCAGATTGCTGACCCATTATACCTATATACTTTACTATCTGTGGATTGTTGTCCTCAATCAAAATTATGCAACACAAAAACCATCTATGTATGGTCCAGGTATCAAGGTATTATTTTCTGATTTGAATTTTTTTTTATACTTGTTTTTTTGTCAAATGCTTTTTCATGGTGATGTTAGCCGGTAGAAAAACCTTGGCCGGCTAAGCCGGCTAAGAACTTGAATAAATTTTTTATCTAATAATTTAGTAGACAAATATTATACTTTGTATAAATTCACTAAAAATCGGGATTTTTTATTATTTTACTAAACCGCGTGAAATTTAAATTGGCCAATCAGAAATTTGTATCCAAAAATAAATAAAATCACTGTTGATGAATATGGTAAAAA